CATAGAGGAGAGCGCGTACTCACTCCATTATTTGGGGATTGGGACCACAACTTAGCGCACACTTGTTAGTCATGTCCAGCGCGACAGGTTAGTTCCGAAGGGTGTGTGTGTATACAAATATATACTATATTATATTATGTATACTAATATATACTATACAAGTATATACTATATATATATATTATTGTTCTAGAAAGTTTTAAAATTTTGGAAAATTCAGAAACTTCAATGAAAATAATTGAACTAGTTTTATGCGTCATTACAGCGTTGTGCGTGAACAATTAATCAGATAATACTATATATAGGTACAATGTTTATCGGCTTTTTCCATACTAGGGCTCCATAATACGAGTTTTCTTTCCAAAATAGTACACATTCGTAGTTCTATTACAGTTCTTTCCCTTTACTACATAAATACGTAGCAAGGCGAGAAAGTAAAAATAGGAGAAAAATATAGTTATACGAAGGCATCTGTTAATACGATACAAAATTAACATGAAATTAAGTCACATTAATTCCTTTTTCAATATTCATTCGGTTTTTATTGTGATTTGTTAGTACAAAAGTGAAATTAGATATACTAAGTAGTTATTGCATAATGTGGTTGCTGATGCAAGCATTGTAACTAATTTATTACTTTTATTAATTACTTTTCGTTTTTATGAGTACACAAAATGATATTTGTGTATTACGTAATCATTTAAATAAATGATTTGATTTCTATCTTCTACATGTGCAAAAATGTTTATGTGCGTGCAGTAGTGATTCCCTCTCAGTTGCGTAGAGATGCATCATCCGTCATTCATCCATCACTGTCTTTTCCACCTTGCTCTTGGGTCTGCGAAACACAGCAACGCTCTCAGCATCAGTCATACTTCTAGTTTCAGATAGCTCATGCCTCATATCTTGAACTGCAAAAGAAATCATTGTTTATCATTATTATTATTATTTTATAATTAATTATGATTTATAAAATTTATAATGATGAATTCTCAACGTGCAGTGAAATGTTTGTTTCTTACCGAATTAATATATTTTACAACTTGACCTTCTTCCTATAAAGCAGGCATGGATTATTACAGTTATTTGAATTATTGAGATGTCATTCAGGGAGTGTTATTCCTATTCAGGTTCAGAATACTTTTGTCTGTTTTTTAGCTAATTGTGGAAATGAAGCAAGTTTTATTGTTAATTTTTCCTCAAGGTTTTCTAAAGTTAAAGATTTCAAATTTCATAGACTCTAAATTTAAGACACGATTTTTATTTTTGTTTTTATTTCCCAAGCAATTTTCCCAAACCACATTATCTACTTAGTGACACAGGTACAATACTCTGTAATTCAAGCATAAAGAATGGCAGTAAGGGGTTATGTTTGATAGGTTTTGGATTACCACCCTATCAACACATCTATAAGAAGGTCCATCTCATCAAACCAAAAATCGCGAAATTGGATTGGATGAAGGCACAATATGAGTTTGTTATGGCCCCTATAATTGCTTTATATTCCCCGAAATATGAGGTATAATGTTTGTTAAGTATTCCATTTGTATTCCAGTTGAACCTCCAGAGATGAGGAAAGCGCTATTTTAAAATGATAACTTGGGAAATTGGGTATATCATTAGAAATGATACTAGTGGGTGAAGTTATTTGAGATATAAGTGAATTTGGACCTTTTTGGAAATAAATGCAATTTCTGTAGGAGGTAATATGATTTCCACCACAGTTTGCGCAAGTTAACAATAATTGAAATGCAATTCCGCTGTTGGACGGATGGAGGCTACCAAATTTAACAAATTTGCGATCTTCTTGACAGAAATTGGGATTCTGTAGTCCTCAAACTTTGCACATAGAGCTAGGTTGACTTCTTACCTATGACCAACGAACAGCAGAAATTCCAATATAAAACCTAAACAATAAAAATAAAAGAAAACCAACAACAGCATAAGATAGAAAATGGTCCAAAACAATCGTCAAGTTGTCATACAAATTCAAAGAGGAATTGACATTCTTGTAAGCCACTCGATATGAACCAAAACGTGAGCTGCACAATGAGGGAGGCGTCTGTGAAGTGTAGGTCGATTTCCGATTGTTGCAACTGACATCCATTCTAGAATAACCTTAGCACAAATAGTACATTTTGTTTATACAATGAATACACTAATCGAAGTTGTAGATACTTGCATAATATAAAAAACATATTACTCTTAGACTAACTATTGCTGGAAGACTACAATATCCCTGGCAACGAAGAGTAGATTACAATGGGGAGAAACAAATCAGGTTGTAAATTTAACAGCGTTGAGGGACCTGAATTCCATATTCTCCACTACGACTGAATGGATCTACTACTACATTTACTTACGAGTAGTGACGCTTCCGAAGGGCAAGTCGGTTGGCGAGTCGTCAAACAAACGTCTCAGAACGTTTCTCAGTTTCCCGGGAATTTCCAAAAGGTGGGTGCACAGACGCATGGGGCACTTCCGGGACCTTGGGCCCAGCGTCCGTCCCCAGTGCCACGAACTCTTCCAACACTCCGCAACGAAGACCAACACCGACACAGCCCATCCTCCGGCCAGAAGGAACAAATGAGGCAGTGCGTGCGTAAATGAAAAGACACCCACGATTTCTTGCTCGCACTGGTCTCGCACATCTGCAACTCTTTGGACAGCGTGTTCACAGTGCAACTGTTTCACCACACCGAAGGTATCTACCCAGTGATGCAATATACCAGTTGCTAGAAGATTACCGAAGAGCTCATTCATTTTAGGCGCCCACGGCCAGTTCCTGTGGATGAAAATATTGTACGTGAAGAGTAATAATAGTAATAATAAACGTTGGTTCTGAAAAATAAGGAAAAAAGTGAAAAGAAAGAAACAATAGCGAATGATCAGAACTTGACGATTGAAGAATATTGAGAAAATGTGATAATGCGACGAGATATTATTCCTTAATTTGGGGTGGGTGTGGATAAGTTGAGTGATAAAAAGGTTTTAAAAAATCTGATTATAATGGATGAAAATTTGGTTTATATGGTTTTGGTATGGTTGGTCGGTTGGAGTGCACTGCTTGCGGTTTTGGGGTCGGGGTGGAGGGTGCATAGGGGAAATGAGTGTGTGTGTGTGTGTGTATGTGTGTGTGTGTGTGTGTGTGACGGAGGTTGTTGCAGTGGGAGTACAGAATTCATGAAATGAGGTGTTGGGTATTGTAGGGTTTGATATTGGGTGGGATAGTGGGTACGAAGTGCTTTTCTGGTTAGCATTTTTAGATATAATTCGCAATCGCGACTGGATGCACGATGAGCCTTTTTGCAATGTTCACACTTTATCACATCGTTTTACAGTCAATTGTGGGTTGGGCGAAATCTGGGTAGACTGGTTGGCTATATGTATATAGATGTTGTTGGTGTGTCTCCGGAAAATGTAGATGATGCAGCATATAGGCATAATAGTTGTTATGCGATTCCAAGGCCTATGACACCGCTTCTGGTAAAGAAGGGATTGATATAGTTATCAAAAGCTTTTGATACAGTATGGCACCCATAATGGTATGGCATCCATAATAATTGATGACATTTAATTTTCTCGCATATTATACTAAGCTAATAAGTAACCATTATTTGCAAAAATTAAGAAGTCACTCAGATTTGGATTATTATAATTTGGATTAAAATAAAATATTTTAATTGTACACATTCATTCAAATGAGGGTCAAATAGCTTGTTTTCAAGGAATAAAAGATAGAACTCACCTTTTAAGAAGGAAGAATTTTGTAGATATATGAAACGCTTTTCTCAAGGGATAACACATCTCCCAGGAAAAATCAAGAGCTTGTACTTGGTCAAGATCGCCGTCTGTCGCTATTAAAACAAATTCTTGTTTTTCTTGGTAAATAAGTGGTAAATCATCATAGGTAATGGCCCGAGGTGTCCATTGAGTACTTAATAAAGGTTCTTGAAAAAGTGCCATGTGAGCAATTGGTAGAGACATAACAATCTTATTTGATCCTGCAAGTTCTTCAAGTGTATCAAGTTTAGCCATCTCCTGGTGAATAATATGCCTAAACAGTTGTCCCTATAAATAAAACAACATTTTATAATAAGATATAAAATCTTCACTTATTTAGAGACTACGTGTGTTTATGCTGCAAATGTAATGTATGTGCTGAAATTGTAGAGCTGGAATGTTGGAAGGAGAAATCAACGAAGTTGTTTCAAAAGCAAAATTAAATATTTTTAAGCATCATTATATTCCTAATAACTTAAATTTTGTACACGTTTCTTTACCAGTCAGGACTTTTCAATATTTTGAATGTCTTGAACATGCACGATCTTACCAGCGAGCAGGATGTATTCGCATCTGAATAGGCAAAACCCTTTGCTCTTGCCCTCTACTAATGCTAATTATGCCAGAAATGCGAACAAATTGACTAAAAATGATTGGTGCCGAGGGTGCTGGAGAGTTTCATTTATTAGTGTTTCTCTTTGATTAGTAATCTCAAATTATGAATCCTTCAATGCCTTTAAAACCTTTTATTTCTCTTTTGTATAATGTACCCTTGACCCGCAACTTGTATTAACTTAATAATATTGATTTTCAACTTCATAAATATTTTTCGAAGCTTTGCATATATTACCCTCTATGTAATCTGCACACACACATAAACGCACGAGCGCGCTCGCGAGCACACACGATGGTTATGCAATTTTTGAATCGCATACGTGCTGAATTAAATATACTGAAACGCCGCCAAATTTAAACGCGTGGTTTTATGAATACAGAGTGGCAATTTTTTGGTCTACTTCCTTGAAGAGGTTCGCAGAAATCGTTATTTTGCGAAGAAAATTCCTTTTCCACTATTTCAAAAGATCGTTTCCTTATCATAAAACCTGGCGAGGAATTGGCCCTTGAATTCTGATCATTGCTGCATATCCTCAACGCGCAATTCGGCAACCTCAGACGATGAAGGAAAATGAGACACTCAGTGAAAGCTCAGTCAGTTTTAAATGCGCGCTGATGGGGTAGTGCGCTTGGTGGGCGATAGGGCATTGTCCGACTTTTCGTAGTATTTGTTATTGCCTGGTCTCGGATTCTGATGACTAGAGAAAGGATTTTGAGGTGCAAATTATGTGCGTAAAAGAGAGAAAGATTCTGAAACTACATACAAAAAGGTACTGCTGAAACAACTGTTTTAAGGTTTAAAGGAACTCAGTTTCTAGAATACACGTATCATTTTGCAACAATTTTTCTTTTTTATAGAGTCCATAAGAGATAATTCATAGTACTTATAGTACTTTATCCAACACTGTAGTAGATAGGAAACTGATAAATAATTGCCAGTTCTGGCTGAACTTTCTTTTCCCGCGGATCGTGTAGTATAAAATACTTTGCAGGCACGTCAAACTGCGCCAACAAGAGCACTTGCCCGCATGGGAACATCGGTGCTCTTGGGGGCACAGACAACTTTCCCCGTCTCCCTCTCTTTTTTCTCCAAATCCACAAGCGCTGCCAGTGCTCTTTTAGTAATAACGGAGACACGATGGCAAGGGTAAACATTTTCTTCAGGTCACTGACAAGTGGATTTCTGCAACCCCATTTAAATGTCCTCATTTGCCTGTCTGGGCAGCACTTTAATTATAGCTTGAAAGAGTTAAACAGTTGCAGCAACACTATTGAAATTGAAATTTGACTTTACAGCTGCAATTGATTATGGTTGCTTAGATATTCATTACTGGTGGTTGACGTAAAATATATTTTTATATTGTTGACTTCTGATTAAATGAGGTTTTAAAGAGTTATTGAAGAAGGGAAATAACCTTTTTTCTGTAATCGTTTAAAAACGCAGAAAAGAGTGAAGAAAAAGAGCCAAAATGTACATAATCTCATAAAGAGGTGCAGCAAAGTATGTTCATTTCGTATCATTCCATCACCCCAAAAACAGATTTTAAACTCTCTGTATAAAAACCAGTAACATTTTTGAAAAGGTGCCGCACCTCCAAATCCTTTCCCTACTGATGACATGCCACTTTTTCATTGGTGCATTCCAAACGTAAATAACGTATAAATGACTCTTTATCACGATATAAAGGTGATACAAATTTATATAACACACAAAACAAAGTTTTTAAACGAAGTTCATAACAAAATGTACTACTACAGTGGACTCCCAAAGGACAGTGGATTTTCCAAACTCTAAAAGTTACATGGATCTTCGGTAAATTCATTAATCTTTCAAAACCGACGTTGAAAGATCAGAGCTAGGTATAACATTTTCTCCTAAAATAAAGAGTTTATATTTTATGTAATTTTATATCAATTAATTTAATTTCAATTAATTTAATTTCAATTTGTAAAATTCATTAAATTAATAAGCATTTTCGTATAAAGTATTAAAGTTTAAGTATTTAAAAAGAAAAAAGAATTTTTAGGTCATCGGATTAGAAAGAAAGAAGGTGCTACTTTTAAATGCAACCTGGAAGAATAATATACGAAGGATACTGCGCTTGTTTCAATTTTTTCCCGTCCCAGATATCATAACATTTCATTTTTATATTAATAAATGACATTTAACTTGAACCATGTCACCTACGTAACAACGGCCAAAATCCATAGATCAACTACATCTTCCCTCCATGAAATGCGATAGTACTGCAGTAGGAAGCAGGGACAGCATATTGTATAATGTCTTGTATGATGGCGCTGGTTGAATATTGTCTGCTCTGTAGTGTTAATAGTGTTCTGCTTGCCTGAAGAGTTAATATTGATCTGTGGTGTTTATATTTTCAGCTGGCTGCCAAAAAGAAAAAAAAAACTTGTTGAATGACCTAATTAACAGATCAAAGCATTTGTTGCAATGTTCAAAGCGAAGCAAAGTTTTAATGGGGGGGATTTCATCATCCATCAAATCATTCCAGTATAAAAGTGGAAAAGACGAAGGATATTGAAAAAGGCGTATTGACTGATAGTGAAAGTGATGACAATGACTGAAGTATTTATTTTGTCAGTAGAAATTATTTTATCGTAAAGACAAACTAATTATTATATTTAAATGTTTTATACAAAGAGCCGTCTTTTTTTAAAGATATTTTATTTATATGTTCTTTATTCATAATAGAAGTATGATAACCCTAATCTACCGATTCTTTAATAAAATAACACTGCTTCACTGTTACAAAATTTTTAATTTAGTACATACAAGTCACGAAATTTCTTTAATAATTAAACGAGAATAACGAGAATAATTACTGTATTTTTATTTCATTCATTACCAACACGGATTAACAGTTGAGTATGCTGCTTGCTTCGCGGCGTCAAGGCTTTCGTGATTTCGAAATGTACGTTTAAATTTATATTCCGAAAATTGTTTTTACCAACATTAACATTCATAAATTCACTAACATTCAAATAATTATCAAATTTCAGAACAGAGACCTCAACTTAAATTTAAATGTAAAATAAAATGCCTTGGCCCAGTGAAGGAGTACGACACTGAGAATAATACTTTCGTAAATCTGGAAAAGTAGAGTGTTCTTGTGCAATTTGCTTGTTATTTCCTGAGAGTTGCATCGAGGTGAAATGCTATTCCAAGCGCAGATATTCTAAGAGGATGTGTGCTTCCGTTACGCGCTGAACTTCTCTGTTTAAGCGCCGCAGTGCCGACGGAAAGAGGGTTTTTTTGTAAAAAATAGAAGAGGATTTTTCTTCTCAAATTATAATTTTCTCTGAAGTAAAGCGAAGTAAACTAATAAATTAACACACACTGTATTGCAGGTATCTTTACCAATGCCTCTAAACCTGCCTTGGTTCTATTTTATCGCATACTACTTACTACATATAGAGAAAGTAATGTAGCACTGCGGAAGAAAACAACCATTTTTTGTGGGTCTTTGATTACGAAAAAGTGGATTATGCTTATTCCTATATCTAGTACATTACTTGCTCTATCTTGTTGCATGGCCCCAGTGCCCCTGCAGTGCCCCATTCAGAAGCCTTATATACGTTCGTGAGTAAATATACACACGAGCGCTGACCATTACGGCGCATTCCAGCCCTGAGGAAGACCACGACAGGATGGTTGAAACGTCGGCAACTCAGCCTTCGACGCGGCGTCACCCGGACAGCCCAGATCACCCACATGACTCTGGCCGCGGAAGCCTACGACTTCAAGTACATTGATTGACTGGCGCTACCGTCCGGGGGAGAGAGAAAGGAGGGAAAGAGACAGAAAGAAAGACAAAGAGAGGAAAAGAGACGAAGTCTAATTTCTGCTGATCATCCAATTGTTTCTTAACTTGGAGGAGCGTGGTGTCCTTTAGAACGATTGCAGGGCAGTGAACTTAGATGAACTTCGATTGTGAGATACCGTCAGAAGTCGAGTTGGCGATGGGGTTGAAGCTCAGAGCGAGAGAACGCGTTGATATACGGCATCTCCCACCTCCACGTGGTCTGGCACCAGGAAACGCTCTCCTAGGGGAGCGACAGAGAAAAGGGAATACGAGGAAGGAAATATGGGGACTGGAGGAAGAGAGAAACTCAAACGAAGCGTTGAAAACTGGCTCGCGACAAAACGGATTTGACGAATTGCACGGAATACATGGAGTTATTCCTCCGCTCAATTGGTGACAAAGAGGAATACGACCGCTCTGCGAAGAAAGAGCTGAAAAAGACAGTAATATCTGCGGTAAGGATGTATAGAAGATTGTACATGAGACATTTGGAGAAAACCTAAAAAATATTATGAGACACACTCAAAGAAGCCCTCAAGGACACGGTAAGGTACACGGTTGTCGACCAAACTATTCATAACGATTCAGTCAAAGACATAATGAATAAAGTGGAGAACCAGCTGAACACAATGATGTTCTCCAACTGGTCTTTTGCCCTAGTGGCAACTGCTGGCGGCCCACCTCATGCAGAAGACACCCTCAGAAGAGACAAAGTCCCAGTCGGGAGGCTGCAGATAACAATGTATGGCATTCAGAGTACATCCCAATAAAGAGCAACTATCACAGAAATAGTTATTGAAGGAGGTGAATAAAGTGTCATAAGGTCACAAATAGTCAAAAAAAGTCAAA